GTCTCTCGTGACTGAAGTTGCACTACGCCTTGTCGTCGTGTGCGCAGGTTCTGATTGTTGGCGACGGTGATGACAACCTCGCGTTGAAGTTGGTGTTCACGTTGAACAAAACGTCCTGAAGAGCACATATGCTGTCCACAGCAGCTATCCAAGAACCACGTGTCTTTTCCGGATGGTTCGCTTTGAGCGATGGCTGCATAGGTCGGATTTGGTTGAAGTGACTCGCGGCGAGACGTGCTGTTGTCGAGTTGCTCTTCCGGTGAGTAATATGGTGGTGACTCTGTGATGCAGGAATCGGTCAGCCGTGTCATGCAACTGACGATGTTTCTTGTTCCTTGCGCAGGTTGTCCCATCGATGTTGTTGAGACTTGTACTTGAGATGTCGAATTCGCTTGCGTTGAGGCAACTTGATTGCTTGAAGGCCGAAGCTGCCGCTGTGTTGGTACTGACTGTTGTCGGTTAGGGCAGTGTGTGCGAGGATGCCCTGACATCTTGCAAAGGTGACAGAACGGAGGTACTGGTTTCGGTTGATGCCGGTAGTTGTTGTTGTTGTAGCGCCGTTGAGTGTGGAATGCGAATTCGGGCACTGATGTCTTCCTTTTGTGTCGTTCTTCTTGCAGGTCCATATCTTGCTGCTCAGCGTGAATTTCGGTGCAGAGTGCTGCTTCTGATATCTTTCCGTGCGCTCGGAGTATGGCGCGGGTGGAGCGCCACTGAGGACCGAGGCCGCCGATGGTGACTGTGACGAAGGCGTCTTCTGAAATCGATCCTCCGCATCGAAGGAGTTTGTCGCGCAATTCGCGACAACGGCTGATATACGCCATCCCCTTTTCGCCTGGTTTCATTTCGACTGTCGTCAGTTGCGCCATTAACCGACTTTGATTTACGCTGTCTGTTGCTTGATACAGGTTCTTCAGGTGGTTGTACGCGAGCTCTGCAGAGTTGCCGTATCCTCGGTAAGACCGTATGTTCTGCTGCTGGCTTGGAGTGATGTTTCTCAGTAGGATTGTGTACGCCATCATTGACTGATACGTGTACTGCTGCTTGTCGTATTGTGTGCCGTGTGTTGGATATGGCAGGGACCCGTCGAAGAAGCCAAGGATCTGCGCGCCTTCCATCATTAGCTCGAACTCGAATGACCAGGTAAAGAAGTCCTTTCCGTCGAAAGGCTTAGTTGTTTGCAGTTTTAAGACGTGCGCGAACTGCGACTGAACTTGAAGTGCGTCCAATGTCTTTTCTTGTCCAGATGCGGGCTGCGGGTGTGGCATAAAGCTGACGGAGCCACGCTGGGGCTCGTACGGAGCAAAGGTAGGCCGTAGCTGTTGATTTCCACGTGCGTAGGATGAACCGTCGAGGCTCATCGGTGTTGCGTTGTTGTTGCTGTTGTTTGACTGTGCAGGTGCCCCTTGTTGGTGTTGTTCGTAGAAGGACATGAAGGAGAAGAACTTCTCCATCATGTCTGGATCAAAGGCCGCAGCTTGATTTGCGGGAGTTTCTGAAGATGTTGTTCTTGGCCTTGTTGCCGTACCCTCCTCTGTCTGTAGGCCAGAGGCAGGAGGTGGAGTAGGAGTAGTACCGGGAGAGCCGTTAGAGGAGCTTCTCTCCTTCTGCGTTGCCATGTCTTGTGATGTTGTAGATATCTTGATCGTAGTCGAATTTGTCCTGACTGCTCTCATACCGTATTGGGCTGAAAAAAGCCCTTAGGATCTTTGCAGGACAGTGTTGGAAAAAACAGTTGCAAGTTATAAACAAGAAAGAGAGGTTTTCACTAGCAAGCAGTTGAGTACATATAGGAAACCATAGATTGGGCTGTACTCAATATTGAGTACCCCACTGCAGGCTAGACAAATACAACATATTCTGACACACCCCCATAGCCAAAGTGGGGTGTAATCAGGAGAAGCAAGCAAAGCAAAAACAAGCTCAGGGTGGATCACAATGTCACCACACATTCTGAGCACAAGTACAAGGCCATAAGGCCAGTTCACAGGCAGAGCAATAGTTCACAAATATAAGCAAATCTAGAAACTATCACAGAGGGCAAGTGAGGAGGAGGGACTATGAGAGGAGAGGAGGTAGGAGGAGACAAGTGAAGCTGCAGACACACGGGCAACAGGAGCGGCGCGCACTGTGGTTACCGGAGATTGTAGCCTCCGGACTACTGGAGTAACTGGCTCCGCGGCTAACTCTAAGCGGCAGGAGCAACGGACCCACGGGCGACTGGCGCAGCAGGCTCGCTGGGCTACCGGAGATTGTAGCCTCCGGACTACTGGCGCTGCTAGCGACACGACGGCTACCTCCGTCCAGCCTCCCCAAACTGTCCCACCCCCCTTTTAGACACCCCCTGCGGCACCTCTAGCACTGCTTACACGCCACCCCCTTAGTACCACTCCATCGTCTCCCACACACCCACCCCCCTCAGCGGCAGCTGCAGCAGTGGGAGACGGAGGAGGAGGAGGAGCAGGGGAGGCCGCACACATCCTTCACCCCCATACTCGCCACCCCCAAACCCCAACACAAGGTAGGGCCGCAGCAGGGGCGGCAGCAGGGCAGAGCTGGGCAGGGTAGGGCCGGGACAGGGCCGGGGCAGAACGGTAGGGCCGGGCAAAGCAGGGCCAGGACAGGACGGCAGGGCCGGGCAGGGCCGCGACGAAGACGGGAGGGGCCGACGCGCGGCCCCCTTCTGTCGCCCCTCCCGTCGCCAGTCGAGGCGACCCGGGGGGGGGGGCGCGGGGCCGCGTGGCCCCCCAGGTCACCTCAACGTGCGTCGGGGGGGGCGATGCGCGGCCCCCCAGGTCACCTCGACGGGCGACGGGGGGAGCGACGCGCGGCCCCTCCAGGGCGCCTCGACGGGTGACTGGGGGGGGCGACGCGCGGCGCCCCAGGGCGCCGGGATGGGCGACGAGGGAGGGCGACGCGCGGCCCCCCAGGGCGCCGCCACGGGCTACGGGAGGGGCGACGCGCGGCCCCCCAGGACGCCTCGACGGGCGACGGGATGGGGGGGAGCGACGCGCGGGCCCCCAGGGCGCAGTGTGCGAAAGCAAACCGCCGCACGCCTCGGGGCGCAAGGCGGGCAGAGAACCGCCGCGCGCCTCGGGGCACACGGCGGGCAGAAAACCGCCACGCGCTCGGAGCGCGTGGCGGGAAGAAAAAACGTCGCGCGCCACGGGGCGCGCGACAGACAAGACAGCAGCAGCGGAAGCATTGGGTGGGCCCATCCACAGGATCGACTCGTGAGGGTCGACCTGCTCTGATTCCATGTTGGAAAAAATAGTTGCAAGTTATAAACAAGAAAGAGAGGTTTTCACTAGCAAGCAGTTGAGTACATATAGGAAACCCTAGATTGGGCTGTACTCAATATTGAGTACCCCACTGCAGGCTAGACAAATACAACATATTCTGACAGACAGAATTCAAGGGTAGGACAATGTAACAGCGGAAGCGTTTAATAAAAGGATTGTGAACGATTGTGAACCACCTTGCGCTGGTATGTGAGGGCAAAGTTGATTGATTAAAACAAAGAGATACAAGCTTTTATAAAGATACAGGGAATATGAAAAGATACGATAAATAACTGTTTTACTGTTTCTGTTGCGGTTCGATACAGTGTCGACTCGGGCAACTGCTCAGTATCGAGATAGTTGTTTGTCCTTGCTGTCGCGCTGCATTTGTCAGGTCAAAGGTCGCTGACCTTTGACTTTCGCGTAACCTCCAGCAGTTGTTCAACCTCCGAGGGTTGACTCGCTGATGTTTCGATATGATCTGCTTCGCTTCTGTCTTGGTATTTCGACACGACAGAGGCGCTTTAAATCAGTTGTTTCCAACACAAAGTGTAAGGAATTTTCCCAAATTCCTTAATCCGGGTTGACTGCTTCGCGTACAGCCCTGATTTTCGGACTCTGCACGTTTGGCCGACATCAACGATGCCGAGGCTCCTCTCGTCGCCTTCGGCGTTTCCCTTCGCCAAACCTGCACCCAACCTCGCTCACCCTAGGTTCCCTCCTAGCTAGGCTAGACACTACATTAGCGTGTGCCTTCATTGTATGCTCAGTCTGTTGAATCACAATCTCGTTATTCGTTAATCTGCGCACTCTCCTTTACAACTCATAACACAAAGCTTGAATTGTTTCGCATCACCCTAAACCCGAAATTCACGAGCCTGGTAACCACCTCAGTTCATCTTTTTAATTAACCTGAGGGCGTGTAACATTTTCCGAAATTGCTAATTTCCGGACCTAGCTGCAGACCGTACGTTTCAGACCCACACGGTCGTTCGGCACCAAGGTACTGTAGGTAGGAAAGCACGTGACACTTTTTTGGCTTTCGAATTTTGAAATGTTTGCGACGAGTAACGCCAGTACCAGAGTGCTCGTAATTTTCGGTAATGAGAATCTGATCAGGGCCTGGTGTCCAACCAATATCACACTCCATTGCTTTAGCGCTCTCTACGAAAATGTATATCCAATGACAGCGAGGCGCGTATCCATATATCTTTTGTGTTTCGTGCTCCAATGACAGCGCAGCATAATAGGCCGGTACGACTTCAATCTGGAGACAAATCGGACAGAACTCAGCTTTCAGAAAGGGGAAGGTGTCAGAAATGGCGGACGCCAGCGACGTCGCAAGGGTGTAATAGTTGGACGGGCCGACGTCCGGACGGAAAAAAGGCGAATGTTACACGCCCTGAACAACAATCACAGCGCCCTAACCAACCCTATTGTTGCCGTTGTCCACCGCGTTCCCTCACCGCCAGCGTACTCCATCGCGTCCACAGGGGTTGCGCAATGATGCGCGCCATCGGGGCGGTGAGGGGTAGTAATAGTTGCGGGTCATGGTTCACAAGTTTCTCCCTAGAGTACGATGCGCTGCAGGCTTGATTCAATCTGAGGTGACGCGATGATCAAGTAGTTTGACGCGACGTGTTGAGAAGGCTCGAGATTTATCCCACGAAAGCCTGTCAGTCCTTGGTCGCTCTTGGTCACCTGTGTGAGCTGAGCACGATGCGGCCCCGCCACCTCGATTTCACTGCAGGAGCTGCTCCACCGCAATCCCCGCAACCCGCGCAACCCGCGCAACCCGCGCAATCTCCGCAACCCTCGCAACCCGCGCAATCTCCGCAACCCTCGCAACCCGCGCAATCTCCGCAACCCTCGCAACCCGCGCAATCCCCGCAACCCTCGCAACCCTCGCAACCTTCGCAATCGGCGCAGCAGGCGGCGCTGCAGTCTCGACAGCCGCAGGAACAGTCGCCGCATTTGTCGCTAGACGCACCATTCGCAGACCTGGCGAACCCTGAGGGCGCACGGAGAAGGCAGGCTGTGGCGGCGGATTCAGCAGCGCGCATGGCAGGCGGTGATGATGTGCGGGAAGCAAGCGAAAAACAACAACAGGAGCAGCAGCAGCAGCAGCAGCAGCAGCAGCAGCAGCAGCAGCAGCAGCAGCAGCAGCAGCAGCAGCAGCAGCAGCAGCAGCAGCAGCAGCAGCAGCAGCAGCAGCAGCAGCAGCAGCAGCAGCAGCAGCAGCAGCAGCAGCAGCAGCAGCAGCAGCAGCAGCAGCAGCAGCAGCAGCAGCAGCAGCAGCAGCAGCAGCAGCAGCAGCAGCAGCAGCAGCAGCAGCAGCAGCAGCAGCAGCAGCAGCAGCAGCAGATGGGAGTAGCAGCGGGTCATGGGTTGCTGCACAGCCAGAGCGTGCAGGAAATGTTGCAACCTCCGCTGCCCTTGCCCGTGCCTGCGCCCGCGCCTGCAGGCGGGTCGGCACGTGAAGAGAGCATGGCACCCCTGCTCACCCCACCAGCAGCGGGTGCAGCAGCAGCAGCAGCAGCAGCAGCCACGCACACAGCAGGAGCAGCCCCAGCGTCATCACCAGCATCGCTCCTAGCAGCAGCATCCCCAGCAGCAGCAGCGCAGGCGGCAGTGCTGGGAGTGCCGTCTGCGCAGTGCGTGCCCATGCCAGCGGGCATGGCCATGGGTGTGCCTGTGCCCGTCGCCGTGCCCGTCTCTCTGCCAGCCCCCCTACCGCCCGCCCTGCCCCTGCTGCCGTCCTCCTCGCCCTTCACCACGTAAGCTCCTGCCTCTCCTCTTGCCCTCCCCCCGCCTCTCCTCTTGTTCGCTGCTGCCCTTCATCCTGCATGCCTTGCCTTCAGTCCTCTCCGTCTCTCTCATCTTCGCTGCTGCCCCTCACTCACCCCTCGTACCGCATGCATCTTGCACTCTCTCACTCACCCGCCATGCAACCCCGCCTCGCCCTCCCTGCGTGCCCCACGCCGCCCCTGCGTGCGTGTGTGTGTGCCACACAGGGGCAGCAGGAAGCCACGGGCAGACAAGAAGGACGCGGCCACGGCAGCAGCCGTGCTGGCAGCGGCGGCGGCACGGGAGGCAGCGGGGGGTCCCGGGGAAGGCACGCCTCCGCGCAAGCGCTCGTGTAACTGCCGCAACTCGCGCTGCCTCAAGCTGTACGCCCACCGCCCACTTGCCCTGCCCCTGCACCACCTGCATCCTTCTGTGTCTGCCATTGATGGGTGGATAGCAGTGGGGCAGGACTCTGCCTCTCATGTGCTGCCTCTCTTGTGCTGCCTCTCTTGTGCTGCCTCTCATGTGCTGCCTCTCTTGTGCTGCCTCTCTGGTGCTGCCTCTCATGTGCTGCCTCTCTTGTGCTGCCTCTCTTGTGCTGCCTCTCTTGTGCTGCCTCTCTTGTGCTGCCTCTCATGTGCTGCCTCTCTTGTGCTGCCTCTCTTGTGCTGCCTCTCATGTGCTGCCTCTCTTGTGCTGCCTCTCTTGTGCTGCCTCTCTTGTGTTGCCTCTCTTGTGCTGCCTCTCTTGTGCTGCCTCTCATGTGCTGCCTCTCTTGTGCTGCCTCTCTTGTGCTGCCTCTCTTGTGCTGCCTCTCTTGTGCTGCCTCTCTTGTGCTGCCTCTCTTGTGCTGCCTCTCTTGTGCTGCCTCTCTTGTGCTGCCTCTCTTGTGCTGCCTCTCTTGTGCTGCCTCTCATGTGCTGCCTCTCTTGTGCTGCCTCTCTTGTGCTGCCTCTCATGTGCTGCCTCTCTTGTGCTGCCTCTCTTGTGCTGCCTCTCTTGTGCTGCCTCTCTTGTGCTGCCTCTCATGTGCTGCCTCTCTTGTGCTGCCTCTCTGGTGCTGCCTCTCATGTGCTGCCTCTCTTGTGCTGCCTCTCTTGTGCTGCCTCTCTTGTGCTGCCTCTCTTGTGCTGCCTCTCATGTGCTGCCTCTCTTGTGCTGCCTCTCTTGTGCTGCCTCTCATGTGCTGCCTCTCTTGTGCTGCCTCTCTTGTGCTGCCTCTCTTGTGTTGCCTCTCTTGTGCTGCCTCTCTTGTGCTGCCTCTCATGTGCTGCCTCTCTTGTGCTGCCTCTCTTGTGCTGCCTCTCTTGTGCTGCCTCTCTTGTGCTGCCTCTCTTGTGCTGCCTCTCTTGTGCTGCCTCTCTTGTGCTGCCTCTCTTGTGCTGCCTCTCTTGTGCTGCCTCTCTTGTGCTGCCTCTCTTGTGCTGCCTCTCTTGTGCTGCCTCTCTTGTGCTGCCTCTCATGTGCTGCCTCTCTTGTGCTGCCTCTCTTGTGCTGCCTCTCTTGTGCTGCCTCTCATGTGCTGCCTCTCTTGTGCTGCCTCTCTTGTGCTGCCTCTCTTGTGCTGCCTCTCATGTGCTGCCTCTCTTGTGCTGCCTCTCTTGTGCTGCCTCTCTTGTGCTGCCTCTCTTGTGCTGCCTCTCTTGTGCTGCCTCTCTTGTGCTGCCTCTCTTGTGCTGCCTCTCATGTGCTGCCTCTCATGTGCTGCCTCTCATGTGCTGCCTCTCTTGTGCTGCCTCTCATGTGCTGCCTCTCATGTGCTGCCTCGCATGTGCTGCCTCTCATGTGCTGCCTCTCATGTGCTGCCTCTCTTGTGCTGCCTCACTTGTGCTGCCTCTCTTATGCTGCCTCTCTTTTGCTGCCTCTCTTGTGCTGCCTCTCTTGTGCTGCCTCTCTTGTGCTGCCTCTCATGTGCTGCCTCTCTTGTGCTGCCTCTCTTGTGCTGCCTCTCATGTGCTGCCTCACTTGTGCTGCCTCTCATGTGCTGCCTCTCTTGTGCTGCCTTTCTTGTGCTGCCTCTCTTGTGCTGCCTCTCTTGTGCTGCCTCTCTTGTGCTGCCTCTCTTGTGCTGCCTCTCTTTTGCTGCCTCTCTTGTGCTGCCTCTCTTGTGCTGCCTCTCTTGTGCTGCCTCTCATGTGCTGCCTCTCTTGTGTTGCCTCTCTTGTGCTGCCTCTCATGTGCTGCCTCTCATGTGCTGCCTCGCATGTGCTGCCTCTCATGTGCTGCCTCTCTTGTGCTGCCTCACTTGTGCTGCCTCTCTTATGCTGCCTCTCATGTGCTGCCTCTCTTGTGCTGCCTCTCTTGTGCTGCCTTTCATGTGCTGCCTCTCTTGTGCTGCCTCTCTTGTGCTGCCTCTCTTGTGCTGCCTCTCTTGTGCTGCCTCTCTTGTGCTGCCTCTCTTGTGCTGCCTCTCTTGTGCAGCCTCTCTTGTGCTGCCTCTCATGTGCTGCCTCTCTTGTGCTTCCTCTCTTGTGCTGCCTCTCTTGTGCTGCCTCTCTTGTGCTGCCTCTCTTGTGCTGCCTCTCTTGTGCTGCCTCTCTTGTGCTGCCTCTCTTTTGCTGCCTCTCTTGTGCTGCCTCTCTTGTGCTGCCTCTCTTGTGCTGCCTCTCATGTGCTGCCTCTCTTGTGCTGCCTCTCTTGTGCTGCCTCTCTTGTGCTGCCTCTCTTGTGTTGCCTCTCTTGTGCTGCCTCTTTTGTGCTGCCTCTCTTGTGCTGCCTCTCTTGTGCTGCCTCTCTTGTGTTGCCTCTCTTGTGCTGCCTCTTTTGTGCTGCCTCTCTTGTGCTGCCTCTCTTGTGCTGCCTCTCTTGTGCTGCCTCTCTTGTGCTGCCTCTCTTGTGCTGCCTCTCTTGTGCTGCCTCTCTTGTGCTGCCTCTCTTGTGCAGCCTCTCTTGTGCTGCCTCTCATGTGCTGCCTCTCTTGTGCTGCCTCTCTTGTGCTGCCTCTCTTGTGCTGCCTCTCTTGTGCTGCCTCTCTTGTGCTGGCTCTCTTGTGCTGCCTCTCTTGTGCTGCCTCTCTTGTGCTGCCTCTCTTGTGCTGCCTCTCTTGTGCAGCCTCTCTTGTGCTGCCTCTCATGTGCTGCCTCTCTTGTGCTTCCTCTCTTGTGCTGCCTCTCTTGTGCTGCCTCTCTTGTGCTGCCTCTCTTGTGCTGCCTCTCTTGTGCTGCCTCTCTTGTGCTGCCTCTCTTTTGCTGCCTCTCTTGTGCTGCCTCTCTTGTGCTGCCTCTCTTGTGCTGCCTCTCATGTGCTGCCTCTCTTGTGCTGCCTCTCTTGTGCTGCCTCTCTTGTGCTGCCTCTCTTGTGTTGCCTCTCTTGTGCTGCCTCTTTTGTGCTGCCTCTCTTGTGCTGCCTCTCTTGTGCTGCCTCTCTTGTGTTGCCTCTCTTGTGCTGCCTCTTTTGTGCTGCCTCTCTTGTGCTGCCTCTCTTGTGCTGCCTCTCTTGTGCTGCCTCTCTTGTGCTGCCTCTCTTGTGCTGCCTCTCTTGTGCAGCCTCTCTTGTGCTGCCTCTCATGTGCTGCCTCTCTTGTGCTGCCTCTCTTGTGCTGCCTCTCTTGTGCTGCCTCTCTTGTGCTGCCTCTCTTGTGCTGCCTCTCTTGTGCTGCCTCTCTTGTGCTGCCTCTCATGTGCTGCCTCTCTTGTGCTGCCTCTCTTGTGCTGCCTCTCTTGTGCTGCCTCTCTTGTGTTGCCTCTCTTGTGCTGCCTCTTTTGTGCTGCCTCTCTTGTGCTGCCTCTCTTGTGCTGCCTCTTGTTGAAAGAGAGAATTGATCAATTGAATAATGAGCCAAGAGGCCCTTTTGTACAAACAAAAAGCAAGAGAGAGATGAGAGGGAAGCTTACCTTATTGGCCAATATGTTGACCAATGGGTGAGCTTGCTTGTGGCCCAAGCAACCACAAAATGTGTGTTGGTTGGGATTGGTTGAGTTAAGGACCAATCCCAACCAACCACAAAATGTGGTTGGAGGGTACACTAAACAACCCCCCAATTTATAAATGTGCTACACATCTAATTCTAGCCTAAGTATGTTGTATAAAATATGAAATTACAACACAATTCTAAGGCTAGAAGGTTACAATCAAGAGGCGGGAGGCGACTTAGGAGGAGTGAGGCCAAGGAGATGAAGTAGTGAAGAGTGAGCCGCATGAGGAAGAGCTTTTGTGAAGATGTCGGCAAGGTTGGTCGCCGAGTCAGTCTTGTCGAGCCGAAGGTGCCCCGCCTGAACAAGATCGCGAATGAAGAAATGACGGAGCTCAATGTGCTTGGAGCGCTCGTGAAACACAGCATCCTTAGTGAGGTGAATGGTACTGGCATTGTCACACCAAATGGTGGGACAGCGCTGGGGGGCACCAAGTTCCTCAAGAAGGAAGGTGAGCCAGCGGGCCTCTTGCGCAACCATGGTAGCAGCATACAACTCCGCCTCGCAGGAAGAGAGGGCGATAGCCGAGGAGCGGGTGGAGCGCCAGCTGATAAGGCCGTTGCCAAGAGAGAAGCCATAGCCCTGGGAGGAGCGAAGATCCGGCCGAGAATCAGCCCAGGAGGAGTCACTGTAGCCGCTGAGGAGAGGTGGGGAGGGGCCGCCAAGGGTAAGGACATAGTCCTTGGTGCCACGAAGGTACCGGAGGACACGCTTGGCAGCCTGCCAGTGCTCTTCCGTATGTTTGCCTGCGCCAACAAAACGAGCGAGGACGCTGATGGGGTAGGCAGGGTCAGGGCGAGTGGAGACCATGGCGTACATGAGGGAGCCGACGAGCTCGGGATAAGGATGGGAGGAGGTTGAGGGGGAGGTGGGTGGAGAGAGGTGGTGCCCGACAGAAAGAGGAGTATGTTGGGCACCGCCCCGGGCCATGTCAAACCGCTCCAAGACCTGCTGCAAGTAATGACCCTGGGAGAGAGAGATGGTGCGGGCGGAGCGATCGTGGGTGATGGTCATGCCCAGGTAATGCTGCAGCTCTCCCAAGTCCTTGCACTTGAGACGGCTACCCAACTCAGCCTTAACACGCTCCAACTCAGCAAGGTCGGCGGTGAGCAGAATCATGCCATCGACATACACAAGGGGAGGCGCGGAGGAAGAGGCTGGCGTCGGAGCGGGAGGTGCGAAACCCAAGTTCAGCAAGGGTGGCGGCAAGCTTAGCATGCCACTCCCTAGGGGCCTGTCGGAGCCCATACACAGGTCGACGCAGCTGCCAGACAGAGTTAGCCGGGAAGGGAAGGTGAAAGCCAACTGGACGCTCCATGTAGATTAGCTTGCGGAGGACGCCTTGCAGAAAGGTGTTAGAAACGTCTGTCGAGTGGATCTCTATATTTAGGCGAGCGGCGAGGTCGAGCACGGCTCGAACGGCAGCAGGTTTGGCGGTAGGGGAGAAGGTATCGAAGAAGTCAACAGCATACCGCTGCGTGAAGCCCTTGGCACAGTAACGAGCCTTGTAGACGGGCTGCTCCCCTGGCAGCTGCTTGACGCGAAACACCCACTTCCCCTTCACCACGTTTGTAGAGGCGGGAGGGCGAGGCACATCAACGAAGGAGGAGTTGGCGATAAAGGCCTCCAGCTCCTTGATGATGGCGGCGAGCCAGAGAGGGGCGTCGGGGCAAGCCATTGCCTCCGCATACGTGGTAGGGATGAAAACGGAGGGAGCAAAGGAGAAGGCGAAGACGGGTGTGCCGGAGAGGTCGAGTGTGATGGGTAGAAGCGAGGGGTTACAGAGGTGGAGGTCAAGGAACTCCTCATGGGAGTCCTCAGAGAGGGAGGTGTGGAAGGCGGGGATGGCTGCTGGTGCTGCTGCTGGTGCCGCTGCTGGTGCCGATGCTGGTGCCGCTGCTGGTGCCGCTGCTGGTGCCGTTGCTGGTGCCGCTGCTGGTGCCGCTGCTGGTGCCGCTGCTGGTGCCGTTGCTGGTGCCGCTGCTGGTCCTGCTGCTGGTGCCGCTGCTGGTCATGCTGCTGGTGGCGCTGCTGGTCCTGCTGCTGGTCCTGCTGCTGGTGCAGCTGCTGGTGCCGTTGCGGACGCTGGTGGTGGTGAGGGAGAGGAGGCAGAGGGGGCTGCTGCAGGAGGAGGTTGATGCAAAACAGCCTGGAAGAAGTGGTGAAGGAGAGGGGAGAGAGGGGGGAGGGTAGAGGAAGAGAGGGTAACAGGGGGCGGTGCACCAAGGATACCGTCACGTGACCTGGTATGGGGGTACCGGGTAAGTACGGTGCGGGGAGGAGGGGAAGGACGGGTCGGTGGCGAGGGAGGGGAGAGGAGGGGGGGAGGGGCACTGGGAGAGGAATGTGTGGGGGAGATCGGAGAGGACAGAGGTTCCGGGTCAAAGATATCACCAGACGAGGGAGGGGCACCGTGGGATGGGGACGACCGAGAGGGGGAAGGCGGGAGGATGGGGGGAGGAGGGAGTAATGGGGGAGGGGTGGTGTCAGACCAGACAAGGGGACGGGTGAGAGGGGGTAGTGGGTCAGTGGATGGGGGAGAGGAGTAGTAGGGAGTGGACTCATCAAAGACCACATCCCTACTGCGGACTAGACGACCTGAGGGGGGATGGAGGAAAAGGTAGTCAGGTGAGGTAGGGTTATGACCAAGGAAGATGCAGGGAAGGGTGCGAGGGGCAAGCTTTCCCATGGAGCGGGAGCGGTCAAAGGGTTGAATAAGGACATATGCCTTTGAGCCTCAGACACGAAGAGATGAGACATCAGGCTTGTCCTTTGTCCACAGCTCAGTGGGGGTGGTGGAAGGGAGAAGGGGGTGAGGGTAAAGGTTAGTAAGGAGGGCGGCATGAAGGAGGGCGTAGCCCCACAGAGAAGGGGGGCAGGAGGCGTGGACAAGAAGACACCGGGCTGTTTTGGTGATCTCTCGAACACGACTTTCAGCCACGCCGTTATGCTGTGGGGAGTGAGGGAGGGTGTAAGTCTGAAGAATGCCACGAGACTGACAATAGGAGGAGACTTGGTCGTTAAGGAACTCACCACCACCATCAGAGTGAAGGCGGCGAACAGGGCGCCCAAAATGGGTGTTTGCCCGCTCGAGCCAGGCGATGATCGCAGCCGGGGCGTCCGCCTTCGTCCGAAGGAGAGAGACGGATGAGTACCGACTGTGATCATCAACGAGCACGAGAAGGTAGCGATGACCTTGGCGAGTGGGAGAGGGATTAGGGCCCCAGAGGTCCATGTGAACAAGATCAAGTGGCCGTGCAGCAGCGGAGGGGGAGCTCCGGTGTGGCTGCTGCTTGAGCTTGCTCTGAACGCAGACAGTGCAGGGGGGGGCAGGGGATTTTGGGAGGGAAGGGAGGGAGGAGGGGAGACCGTGGAGGAGACCGGAGGAGACAGAGGAGCGCAGAGTAGCGAAGTTACGGTGACCTAGCCTGTGATGGAGGAGGACGATAGGGTGGGAGAGGGAGCGACAGGAACAGTCACCGGTAGCATGTTTCTGTGGCATGAGTGGTTTGGGCGCAGCGCTGTCCCTGAGTGGGACCGTAGCGCTAAGTGGCGAAATGCGCGTATAGCGTATATACGCGTGTCGTATGTACGCATGCGTTTATACGCTTTACGCTAAGGTCCCGAATCCAGGAATACGCTTTTTTTGGGCAGGGTAAAAAAAACCCGGGCAGGGTGAAAAAAACACCCTAGGTATAGTTCACAAGGGGGATTCACGGAGGTTGTGTCTTAGGTTCATTTTTTTCCCTATGACGCGAAATGCTTAAAGACTTCGTGCTCAACATCGGGAAGGTACTCCCTAATCTCACGAAGAGGACGTGACCTTTTGTTATCCTGTGTGAGATCAGATGGCGGGTTAGGAACTGCAGTAGAAATTTTCGCGTAGGATACTAGGAGTGAGCGACTAGGCGGAATGGACGGATGGGGGAGGGAACGTGAAGTAGATCTGACGAGAAACGACGTGTTGGAGGGGAAGTACTGGAAAGGTTGGAGCTCGTAGATTGGGTTCGGTTCAAAGAGGTGGAACCCTGAAATTCGAAATTGCAACTCCAACCTGAATCCAAACATTGAAGTGACATTCCCGCTACCCTAGATCTCCGATGAGCATTTTGACCACCGCGAAATGATTGCCGTGAAAAACGGCAGATTTCTATATATTCCCGAAAATTTTCACCTTGGGCTGCCCAGAAAAAAACTCCCGAGCGTATAGCGTATTTGCTAGCGTATAGCGTTTTGCGTGTATACTCAAGCGGATAAACGCTATACGCTTAAAGGCAAAAGCGTATTTCGTCACTTAGTCGTAGCGAGGCAGGTACTGACAGGGAGGAAAGGCAGCTGCCGCACCGCGACCCGCACCACCGCTACCACTGCCACCACGACCCGGTGATCCACCTCGTCCACCCCCACGCCCACCACCACGCCCACCCCCACGCCCACCGCCACGCCCACCCCTGCTGCTGCGCGGCTGAGCTACTGCGACTGTGGAGGTAGAGTGGCGAAGGATCTCGGCTTCGGTGGTGATAATCCACTGAGCGACTTCAGCAAGGGTATGGTGCTTGGAGAGAAGCTGCATGTAGGCAAGCTTGTGAGCGTCGAAGGCAGGTGTGAGGCCCTCGAGGAGGTGGCAGCAGATGACAGTGTCCGGGTACACCACATCGAGTGCCGCAAGGCGCCGAGCAAGGTCTAGGACACGGCGAGTGAAGGCAGCGTCGCCAGAAGTGGAGTCCATGGAGAGAGTGCTGAATTCTTTGATGAGGGCGTAGAGGGTGGCAACGTCTTGCCGATTGAAAAGGTCAACGAGGAGTCGCCATAGGTGGGAGGAGGAGGTAGGTGAGAGCTCGCGTTTGAGGGAGGAAGGGACGGTGGCAAGAAGAATGGCAAGCGCGCGCCGATCGGCAACTCGCAAGGCAATGATTTTCGTGGTGTAGTCGGCAAGGTCCGCGGTGTAGGTGTCAAGGTCCTCCTGGTACTTGCTGTAGCGGGCAGCGGCGTCGTCATAAATGCGCTTCTCGTCCTCGTAACGCAGTTGCTGGCGCAGGTGCTCTGGAGATTGGTGCGGTAGGTGCGGATGGCGGTCTCCGAGCTCTGCGGATCGTTGACATTCGGTGCGAAGGTGGGGGGATCACCAGGGGGAGAGGGCTCGGCGCCAGGGTGGGTGGGGACAGGTCCAGTGGGAGCGGTGGGGGCCACGGGCTGAAGTTCACCACCTTCCTGGAAGACAACCGAGCGAAGGTTGTTGCCGCTGATCACAACAGAGGAGAGGAGAACCTCGACCGAGTGAGCGTAGGAGTGCTAATTAGCAGCAGTGTTGTCGGGTAGCAACTGGAGTGCATCAACAGTAGCAAGGTTGACGGAAGAATCCGACGATGCCATAGAGACGAGGGTGGGTGGAAACAAGGACAGGAGGAGGATGGGGCGAGGGTACTGCTGCTGGTGGCGCTGCTGGTCCTGCTACTGGTGCCGCTGCTGGTCCTGCTGCTGGTGCCGCTGCTGGTCCTGTTGCTGGTGCCGCTGCTGGTCCTGCTTCTGGTGCCTCTGCTGGTCCTGCTGCTGGTGCCGCTGCTGATCCTGCTGCTGGTGCTGCTGCTGGTCCTGCTGCTGGTGCCGCTGCTGGTCCTGCTGCTGGTAGGATGGGAGGAGGAAAGGAGGAGCGGAAGGTGGGGGAAGGTGGAGGAGGAGGAGGGGGGAGCGATGTTATGGGGGAGGCAGGGGGAAGGGTGCTGCTGTTGGCGTCGCTGCAGATGCCGCTGATGATGCTGCTGTGGGTAGGGACGAGGAGGGAAGCCCTGAGGCAGATCCGAGCGCGGGAGGAGTGGGTCTGGGCGCGGAAAGTGCAGATCTGGGCGCGCAGAGCGCAGATTTGGATGCGTGGAATGCAGACCTGGTCGCGCTGAGTGCAGATCTGGTCGCGCTGAAAGCAGATCTGGATGCGCGGAATGCAGATCTGGTCGCGCGGAGGGCAGATCTGGTCGCGCGGAGTGCAGATCTGGTCGCGCGGAGTGCAGATCTGGATGCGCGGAATGCAGATCTGGACGCGCAGAATGCAGACCTGGTAACGAAATGTGCAGATCTGGGTGCAGGAGGAGTAGATCTGGGCACGGGAGGAGTAGATCTGGGCGCGGGAGGAGTAGATCTGGGCGCTGGAGTTGCAGATCTGAGCGCGAGGAGAGCGGATCTGGGCGCTGGGAGGGCAGATCTGGGCGCTGGGAGGGCAGATCTGGGCGCTGGGAGGTCAGATCTGGGCGCTGGGAGGGCAGATCTGGGCGCTGGGAGGTCAGATCTGGGCGCTGGGAGGGCAGATCTGGGCGCTGGGAGGTCAGATCTGGGCGCTGGAGTTGCAGATCTGGATGTGCGTGGAGCAGTGCCTTGGAGGGCTGCGCCATATGGGGCGTGCGGAGAGGGAGGACAGCGCCTAAAGGGCGCGCGAAGAGATGGCAGCTCCGTTCTAGAAGGCTAGATCTGAGGGACGGGGAGGAGAGGGTGGCCTAAGGACCGAGGGATGAAGGCGTGAGCCATTAGCTCATGATACCATGTTGAAAGAGAGAATTGATCAATTGAATAATGAGCCAAGAGGCCCTTTAGTACAAACAATGAGCAAGAGAGAGATGAGAGGGAAGCTTACCCTATTGGCCAATATGTTGACCAATGGGTGAGCTTGCTTGTGGCCCAAGCAACCACAAAATGTGTGTTGGTTGGGATTGGTTGAGTTAAGGACCAATCCCAACCAACCACAAAATGTGGTTGGAGGGTACACTAAACAACCCCCCAATTTATAAATGTGCTACACATCTTATTCTAGCCTATGTATGTTGTATAAAATATGAAATTACACCACCACTCATGTGCTGCCTTTCTTGTGCTGCCTCTCTTGTGCTGCCTCTCTTGTGCTGCCTCTCTTGTGCTGCCTCTCATGTGCTGCCTCTCTTTTGCTGCCTCTCTTGTGCTGCCTCTCTTGTGCTGCCTCTCTTGTGCTGCCTCTCTTGTGCTGCCTCTCTTGTGCTGCCTCTCTTTTGCTGCCTCTCTTGTGCTGCCTCTCTTGTGCTGCCTCTCTTGTGCTGCCTCTCTTGTGCTGCCTCTCTTGTGCTGCCTCACTTGTGCTGCCTCTCTTGTGCTGCCTCTCTTGTGCTGCCTCTCTTGTGCTGCCTCTCTTGTGCTGCCTCTCTTGTGCTGCCTCTCTTGTGCTGCCTCTCTTGTGCTGCCTCTCTTGTGCTGCCTCTCTTGTGCTGCCTCTCTTTTGCTGCCTCTCTTGTGCTGCCTCTCTTGTGCTGCCTCTCTTGTGCTGCTCTCTTGCTGCCTCTCTTGTGCTGCCTCTCTTGTGCTGCCTCTCTTGTGCTGCCTCTCTTGTGCTGCCTCTCTTGTGCTGCCTCTCTTGTGCTGCCTCTCTTGTGCTGCCTCTCTTGTGCTGCCTCTCTTGTGCTGCCTCTCTTGTGCTGCCTCTCTTGTGCTGCCTCTCTTGTGCTGCCTCTCTTGTGCTGCCTCTCTTGTGCTGCCTCTCTTGTGCTGCCTCTCTTGTGCTGCCTCTCTTGTGCTGCCTCTCTTGTGCTGCCTCTCTTGTGCTGCCTCTCTTGTGCTGCCTCTCTTGTGCTGCCTCTCTTGTGCTGCCTCTCTTGTGCTGCCTCTCTTGTGCTGCCTCTCTTGTGCTGCCTCTCTTGTGCTGCCTCCCTTGTGCTGCCTCTCTTGTGCTGCCTCTCTTGTGCTGCCTCTCTTGTGCTGCCTCTCTTGTGCTGCCTCTCTTGTGCTGCCTCTCTTGTGCTGCCTCTCTTGTGCTGCCTCTCTTGTGCTGCCTCTCTTGTGCTGCCTCTCATGTGCTGCCTCTCTTGTGCTGCCTCTCTTGTGCTGCCTCTCTTGTGCTGCCTCTCTTGTGCTGCCTCTCATTGTGCTGCCTCTCTTGTGCTGCCTCTCTTGTGCTGCCTCTCTTGTGCTGCCTCTCTTGTGCTGCCTCTCTTGTGCTGCCTCTCTTGTGCTGCCTCTCTTGTGCTGCCTCTCTTGTGCTGCCTCTCTTGTGCTGCCTCTCTTGTGCTGCCTCTCTTGTGCTGCCTCTCTTGTGCTGCCTCTCTTGTGCTGCCTCTCTTGTGCTGCCTCTCTTGTGCTGCCTCTCTTGTGCTGCCTCTCTTGTGCTGCCTCTCTTGTGCTGCCTCTCTTGTGCTGCCTCTCTTGTGCTGCCTCTCTTGTGCTGCCTCTCTTGTGCTGCCTCTCTTGTGCTGCCTCACTTGTGCTGCCTCTCTTGTGCTGCCTCTCTTGTGCTGCCTCTCTTGTGCTGCCTCTCTTGTGCTGCCTACCTTGTGCTTCCTCTCTTGTGCTGCCTCTCTTGTGCTGCCTCTCTTGTGCTGCCTCTCTTGTGATGCCTCTCTTGTGCTGCCTCTCTTGTGCTGCCTCTCTTGTGCTGCCTCTCTTGTCCTGCCTCTCTTGTGCTGCCTCTCTTGTGCTGCCTCTCTTGTGCTGCCTCTCTTGTGCTGCCTCTCTTGTGCTGCCTCTCTTGTGCTGCCTCTCTTGTGCTGCCTCTCTTGTGCTGCCTCTCTTGTGCTGCCTCTCTTGTGCTGCCTCTCTTGTGCTGCCTCTCTTGTGCTGCCTCTCTTGTGCTGCCTCTCTTGTGCTGCCTCTCTTGTGCTGCCTCTCTTGTGCTGCCTCTCTTGTGCTGCCTCTCTTGTGCTGCCTCTCTTGTGCTGCCTCTCTTGTGCTGCCTCTCTTGTGCTGCCTCTCTTGTGCTGCCTCTCTTGTGCTGCCTCTCTTGTGCTGCCTCTCTTGTGCTGCCTCTCTTGTGCTGCCTCACTTGTGCTGCCTCTCTTGTGCTGCCTCTCTTGTGCTGCCTCTCTTGTGCTGCCTCTCTTGTGCTGCCTCTCTTGTGCTGCCTCTCTTGTGCTGCCTCTCTTGTGCTGCCTCTCTTGTGCTGCCTCTCTTGTGCTGCCTCTCTTGTGCTGCCTCTCTTGTGCTGCCTCTCTTGTGCTGCCTCTCTTGTGCTGCCTCTCTTGTGCTGCCTCACTTGTGCTGCCTCTCTTGTGCTGCCTCTCTTGTGCTGCCTCTCTTGTGCTGCCTCTCTTTTGCTGCCTCCCTTGTGCTTCCTCTCTTGTGCTGCCTCTCTTGTGCTGCCTCTCTTGTGCTGCCTCTCTTGTGCTGCCTCTCTTGTGCTGCCTCTCTTGTGCTGCCTCTCTTGTGCTGTCTCTCTTGTGCTGCCTCTCTTGTGCTGCCTCTCTTGTGCTGCCTCTCTTGTGCTGCCTCTCTTGTGCTGCCTCTCTTGTGCTGCCTCACTTGTGCTGCCTCTCTTGTGCTGCCTCTCTTGTGCTGCCTCTCTTGTGCTGCCTCTCTTGTGCTGCCTCTCTTGTGCTGCCTCTCTTGTGCTGCCTCTCTTGTGCTGCCTCTCTTGTGCTGGCTCTCTTGTGCTGCCTCCCTTGTGCTGCCTCTCTTGTGCTGCCTCTCTTGTGCTGCCTCTCTTGTGCTGCCTCTCTTGTGCTGCCTCTCTTGTGCTGCCTCTCTTGTGCTGCCTCTCTTGTGCTGCCTCTCTTGTGCTGCCTCACTTGTGCTGCCTCTCTTGTGCTGCCTCTCTTGTGCTGCCTCTCTTGTGCTGCCTCTCTTGTGCTGCCTCCCTTGTGCTTCCTCTCTTGTGCTGCCTCTCTTGTGCTGCCTCTCTTGTGCTGCCTCTCTTGTGCTGCCTCTCTTGTGCTGCCTCTCTTGTGCTGCCTCTCTTGTGCTGCCTCTCTTGTGCTGCCTCTCTTGTGCTGCCTCTCTTGTGCTGCCTCTCTTGTGCTGCCTCTCTTGTGCTGCCTCTCTTGTGCTGCCTCTCTTGTGCTGCCTCTCTTGTGCTGCCTCTCTTGTGCTGCCTCCTTGTGCTGCCTCTCTTGTGCTGCCTCTCTTGTGCTGCCTCTCTTGTGCTGCCTCTCTTGTGCTGCCTCTCTTGTGCTGCCTCTCTTGTGCTGCCTCTCTTGTGCTGCCTCCCTTGTGCTGCCTCTCTTGTGCTGCCTCTCTTGTGCTGCCTCTCTTGTGCTGCCTCTCTTGTGCTGCCTCTCTTGTGCTGCCTCTCTTGTGCTGCCTCACTTGTGCTGCCTCTCTTGTGCTGCCTCTCTTGTGCTGCCTCTCTTGTGCTGCCTCTCTTGTGCTGCCTCTCTTGTGCTGCCTCTCTTGTGCTGCCTCTCTTGTGCTGCCTCTCTTGTGCTGCCTCTCTTGTGCTGCCTCTCTTGTGCTGCCTCTCTTGTGCTGCCTCTCTTGTGCTGCCTCTCTTGTGCTGCCTCTCTTGTGCTGCCTCACTTGTGCTGCCTCTCTTGTGCTGCCTCTCTTGTGCTGCCTCTCTTGTGCTGCCTCTCTTTGCTGCCTCCCTTGTGCTTCCTCTCTTGTGCTGCCTCTCTTGTGCTGCCTCTCTTGTGCTGCCTCTCTTGTGCTGCCTCTCTTGTGCTGCCTCTCTTGTGCTGCCTCTCTTGTGCTGCCTCTCTTGTGCTGCCTCTCTTGTGCTGCCTCTCTTGTGCTGCCTCTCTTGTGCTGCCTCTCTTGTGCTGCCTCTCTTGTGCTGCCTCTCTTGTGCTGCCTCTCTTGTGCTGCCTCTCTTGTGCTGCCTCTCTTGTGCTGCCTCTCTTGTGCTGCCTCTCTTGTGCTGCCTCTCTTGTGCTGCCTCTCTTGTGCTGCCTCTCTTGTGCTGCCTCTCTTGTGCTGCCTCTCTTGTGCTGCCTCTCTTGTGCTGCCTCTCTTGTGCTGCCTCTCTTGTGCTGCCTCTCTTGTGCTGCCTCTCTTGTGCTGCCTCTCTTGTGCTGCCTCTCTTGTGCTGCCTCTCTTGTGCTGCCTCTCTTGTGCTGCCTCTCTTGTGCTGCCTCACTTGTGCTGCCTCTCTTGTGCTGCCTCTCTTGTGCTGCCTCTCTTGTGCTGCCTCTCTTGTGCTGCCTCCCTTGTGCTTCCTCTCTTGTGCTGCCTCTCTTGTGCTGCCTCTCTTGTGCTGCCTCTCTCGTGCTGCCTCTCTTGTGCTGCCTCTCTTGTGCTGCCTCTCTTGTGCTGCCTCTCTTGTGCTGCCTCTCTTGTGCTGCCTCTCTTGTGCTGCCTCTCTTGTGCTGCCTCTCTTGTGCTGCCTCTCTTGTGCTGCCTCTCTTGTGCTGCCTCTCTTGTGCTGCCTCTCTTGTGCTGCCTCTCTTGTGCTGCCTCTCTTGTGCTGCCTCTCTTGTGCTGCCTCTCTTGTGCTGCCTCTCTTGTGCTGCCTCTCTTGTGCTGCCTCTCTTGTGCTGCCTCTCTTGTGCTGCCTCTCTTGTGCTGCCTCTCTTGTGCTGCCTCTCTTGTGCTGCCTCTCTTGTGCTGCCTCTCTTGTGCTGCCTCTCTTGTGCTGCCTCTCTTGTGCTGCCTCTCTTGTGCTGCCTCTCTTGTGCTGCCTCTCTTGTGCTGCCTCTCTTGTGCTGCCTCTCTTGTGCTGCCTCTCTTGTGCTGCCTCTCTTGTGCTGCCTCTCTTGTGCTGCCTCTCTTGTGCTGCCTCTCTTGTGCTGCCTCTCTTGTGCTGCCTCTCTTGTGCTGCCTCTCTTGTGCTGCCTCGTGCTGCCTCTCTTGTGCTGCCTCTCTTGTGCTGCCTCTCTTGTGCTGCCTCTCTTGTGCTGCCTCTCTTGTGCTGCCTCTCTTGTGCTGCCTCTCTTGTGCTGCCTCTCTTGTGCTGCCTCTCTTGTGCTGCCTCTCTTGTGCTGCCTCTCTTGTGCTGCCTCTCTTGTGCTGCCTCTCTTGTGCTGCCTCTCTTGTGCTGCCTCTCTTGTGCTGCCTCTCTTGTGCTGCCTCTCTTGTGCTGCCTCTCTTGTGCTGCCTCTCTTGTGCTGCCTCTCTTGTGCTGCCTCTCTTGTGCTGCCTCTCTTGTGCTGCCTCTCTTGTGCTGTCCTCTCTTGTGCTGCCTCTCTTGTGCTGCCTCTCTTGTGCTGCCTCTCTTGTGCTGCCTCTCTTGTGCTGCCTCTCTTGTGCTGCCTCACTTGTGCTGCCTCTCTTGTGCTGCCTCTCTTGTGCTGCCTCTCTTGTGCTGCCTCTCTTGTGCTGCCTCTCTTGTGCTGCCTCTCTTGTGCTGCCTCTCTTGTGCTGCCTCTCTTGTGCTGCCTCCCTTGTGCTGCCTCTCTTGTGCTGCCTCTCTTGTGCTGCCTCTCTTGTGCTGCCTCTCTTGTGCTGCCTCTCTTGTGCTGCCTCTCTTGTGCTGCCTCTCTTGTGCTGCCTCTCTTGTGCTGCCTCACTTGTGCTGCCTCTCTTGTGCTGCCTCTCTTGTGCTGCCTCTCTTGTGCTGCCTCTCTTGTGCTGCCTCCCTTGTGCTTCCTCTCTTGTGCTGCCTCTCTTGTGCTGCCTCTCTTGTGCTGCCTCTCTTGTGCTGCCTCTCTTGTGCTGCCTCTCTTGTGCTGCCTCTCTTGTGCTGCCTCTCTTGTGCTGCCTCTCTTGTGCTGCCTCTCTTGTGCTGCCTCTCTTGTGCTGCCTCTCTTGTGCTGCCTCTCTTGTGCTGCCTCTCATGTGCTGCCTCTCTTGTGCTGCCTCTCTTGTGCTGCCTCTCTTGTGCTGCCTCTCTTGTGCTGCCTCTCATGTGCTGCCTCTCTTGTGCTGCCTCTCTTGTGCTGCCTCTCTTGTGCTGCCTCTCTTGTGCTGCCTCTCTTGTGCTGCCTCTCTTGTGCTGCCTCACTTGTGCTGCCTCTCTTGTGCTGCCTCTCTTGTGCTGCCTCTCTTGTGCTGCCTCTCTTGTGCTGCCTCTCTTGTGCTGCCTCTCTTGTGCTGCCTCTCTTGTGCTGCCTCTCTTGTGCTGCCTCTCTTGTGCTGCCTCCCTTGTGCTGCCTCTCTTGTGCTGCCTCTCTTGTGCTGCCTCTCTTGTGCTGCCTCTCTTGTGCTGCCTCTCTTGTGCTGCCTCTCTTGTGCTGCCTCTCTTGTGCTGCCTCTCTTGTGCTGCCTCACTTGTGCTGCCTCTCTTGTGCTGCCTCTCTTGTGCTGCCTCTCTTGTGCTGCCTCTCTTGTGCTGCCTCCTTGTGCTTCCTCTCTTGTGCTGCCTCTCTTGTGCTGCCTCTCTTGTGCTGCCTCTCTTGTGCTGCCTCTCTTGTGCTGCCTCTCTTGTGCTGCCTCTCTTGTGCTGCCTCTCTTGTGCTGCCTCTCTTGTGCTGCCTCTCTTGTGCTGCCTCTCTTGTGCTGCCTCTCTTGTGCTGCCTCTCTTGTGCTGCCTCTCTTGTGCTGCCTCTCATGTGCTGCCTCTCTTGTGCTGCCTCTCTTGTGCTGCCTCTCTTGTGCTGCCTCTCTTGTGCTGCCTCTCATGTGCTGCCTCTCTTGTGCTGCCTCTCTTGTGCTGCCTCTCTTGTGCTGCCTCTCTTGTGCTGCCTCTCTTGTGCTGCCTCTCTTGTGCTGCCTCTCTTGTGCTGCCTCTCTTGTGCTGCCTCTCTTGTGCTGCCTCTCTTGTGCTGCCTCTCTTGTGCTGCCTCTCTTGTGCTGCCTCTCTTGTGCTGCCTCTCTTGTGCTGCCTCTCTTGTGCTGCCTCTCTTGTGCTGCCTCTCTTGTGCTGCCTCTCTTGTGCTGCCTCTCTTGTGCTGCCTCTCTTGTGCTGCCTCTCTTGTGCTGCCTCTCTTGTGCTGCCTCTCTTGTGCTGCCTCTCTTGTGCTGCCTCTCTTGTGCTGCCTCTCTTGTGCTGCCTCTCTTGTGCTGCCTCTCTTGTGCTGCCTCTCTTGTGCTGCCTCTCTTGTGCTGCCTCTCTTGTGCTGCCTCTCTTGTGCTGCCTCTCTTGTGCTGCCTCTCTTGTGCTGCCTCTCTTGTGCTGCCTCTCTTGTGCTGCCTCTCTTGTGCTGCCTCTCTTGTGCTGCCTCTCTTGTGCTGCCTCTCTTGTGCTGCCTCTCTTGTGCTGCCTCTCTTGTGCTGCCTCTCTTGTGCTGCCTCTCTTGTGCTGCCTCTCTTGTGCTGCCTCTCTTGTGCTGCCTCACTTGTGCTGCCTCTCTTGTGCTGCCTCTCTTGTGCTGCCTCTCTTGTGCTGCCTCTCTTGTGCTGCCTCTCTTGTGCTGCCTCTCTTGTGCTGCCTCTCTTGTGCTGCCTCTCTTGTGCTGCCTCTCTTGTGCTGCCTCTCTTGTGCTGCCTCTCTTGTGCTGCCTCTCTTGTGCTGCCTCTCTTGTGCTGCCTCACTTGTGCTGCCTCTCTTGTGCTGCCTCTCTTGTGCTGCCTCTCTTGTGCTGCCTCTCTTGTGCTGCCTCCCTTGTGCTTCCTCTCTTGTGCTGCCTCTCTTGTGCTGCCTCTCTTGTGCTGCCTCTCTTGTGATGCCTCTCTTGTGCTGCCTCTCTTGTGCTGCCTCTCTTGTGCTGCCTCTCTTGTCCTGCCTCTCTTGTGCTGCCTCTCTTGTGCTGCCTCTCTTGTGCTGGCACGGCAGGGCCATGCCTGCAATGGGCTTCCTATTTCTCCCCAACCTCCTCGTTTCCACTCCCTTGGTGGCAGGTACTGCGAGTGCTTTGCGGCGGGGCTGTACTGCGAGGGGTGCAACTGCGTCAACTGCTGCAACGCGCCCGCCAACGAGGCGCAGCGGCACGAGGCCGTGCTCGCCGTGCTCGACCGCAACCCCAACGCCTTCCGCCCCAAAATCGCCCCCCACAGCCCCTCCCACGCCCCCGCTTCGGTTCGCCCTCTCACCACCCTCACAACGCCCCCAACTGCTCTCCCACTTGCTGCACCACACTAGCTGCACCACACTCGCTGCACGACACTATGTTCCTTCTGCACCTGGCAGACTAACTAAGCGAACAAGGCCGGCGATAAGAGTTCAGCTCTCTCGTGGCTGTAGGCTTTCAGCAGCACATCCAACTCACTACTCTGATAGCCCACCTTGTTCGCTTAGCCCGTCCCGTGCAGAGGGAACGTAGTGAAAGCAAGGCTTCCACGACTGAAAAACGTACTGTAATGTATGTATAGAAACCATATTCCAAACCTTGCTCCCACAGCATGTGCACACCCTCCCCTTCAACCCCAATCGTCTTCGCCCTGCCCCTACCCAGTCCCTCCTTTCCAATGCGTCCCACCCCCCACCCCCCTCCCTGGCAGCAGGGCGAGGCGGCGCGCGTGCACACGCCGGTGGCGGGACGGCACCGCGCGGGGTGCCACTGCCGCAAGAGCGGGTGTCTGAAGAAGTACTGCGAGTGCTTCCAGGCCAACGTGCTGTGCGGCGCCAACTGCAAGTGCGCCGATTGCAAGAACTACGACGGCAGCCTCGACCGCCAGGCCGTTGTTGCCGGCCTCGCTGCTGCTGCCGCTGCGGCGGCCGTGACACCCATCAAGTTTGAGGTGCGCAGTCAACCGGAGTGGCATGGCTCCACACCGCACTGCACCGCACCACATCACAGCACAGCACACCACGCATTGCGATGTGCCGTCCTTCCTTCACCTTCTTTCTTTTTCATCTCCCTCTCCCCTCTCCCCACTACTCTCCCCCCCCCAGATGTCAGCCTACCAGCGCATGGTCACCCCCACCAAGGCCTCCGCCTTCACGCCTCCTGCTGTGCGCCCTGGCCTTCACGCCCACACATCCCTGCACTCCCACACATCCCCGCACGCCCATGCACATGCTCGCACACCCTCTCACTCGCTCGCTCACTCGCACTCCTACCCTCCCTTTCGCCCCCACCACTCCCCTGTGCCTGCCCATGCTACTGCTGCTGCTGCTGGCGGTGCCATGGGCGGTGGGATTGGCGCGGCATGGGATGGGAGGGGCGGGGGGCATGTGGTGGCAGGAGGGAGTCCCGAGGGCAGCAACATGCACATGCACCCTCCTGCCGCCTTGAGGTACGCGCTGGCTGAGCTGGGAGGGTGTGAGGTGTGGGCAGCAGACGGTATGTTTCCCTTGAGTGAGTATCACGGGAATGCAGGTTTGGAAGCTTGTGGGATGATGTGGCTGTCGCACAGCTCAGCTCGATTCGATGCGCCCCAGATGGAGGGTCATATATACAGAGGAGGGCGGAAGAAGAGCAGAGGAACCACTCCCACGTGAGCTCATTGGTTTCACCAAGTGCAGCGCGCACATTGCACACACGCAATACGGTCAACCGTTCAGAATTTATGACTTTTCATCCATCTCCCGCGTTTTTATCGTTTTCTCCTCAAGCTTCCCTCAGTTCCCCGTCCCTTTCATCTCCTTTCCATCCCCTCGTCCCTTTGTCCCTGTCTCCTCTCACTCACCCTGTCTCCTCTCACTCACCCTGTCTCCTCTCATTCACACTGTCTCCTCTCACTCACCCTGTCTCCTCTCACTCACCCTGTCTCCTCTCACTTACCATGTCTCCTCTCACTCACCCTGTCTCCTCTCACTCACCCTGTCTCCTCTCACTCACCTTGTCTCCTCGAACCCCTGCCGGCCCAACCTCCCCCTCCCCACATGCCCCGCAGGTCGCCCCCCCCGCACCCCCCCATGGTGGGCCTCTCCCCCTCCCGCGCGGCCTCCACGCCCGCCCTGCCCTCCTCCTCAGCGCGCTCGTCCCTCTCCTCGTGGGCGGCGCGGCGCACATGCATGCTCATGGCGGCGCTGGCGTGGGGCGTTCAGCACGAGTACTCTGCGTGCAGTGAGTGGCATATCACAAGTCACTCATATGCCTCTCTTGCCACCCATTCGCACGCTCGTCGCTCGCTTGGAATGCGAAATGCTTATGTTGCCTTCCAATCGGCCTAGTTATGGTCTGCGCTCTCCGTCTGCACTCTCCGTCTGCGCTCTCCCTTCGCCCTCTCTCTCAACTGGTCCGTATTATGATTTGAGTGTGAGTGCATGGAAGACCAGAGCTGGTGAGTGCTGTCGTAGCCATGCAACCAAGCGCTGCACTCACAACATACGCAGGCAGCTGCAGGAGCGCCATCACATCACGGGCTCCCCCTATGTTGGCATATACAAAAATGCCCTCACCCCGCCCTGCAGTGCAATCAAGTCATCCTCGCTCTCATTCCCATCACCCCCCTCCTTCCCGCGGCTCTTGAGGTGCTCGGCGTGCTTAGTGATGAACTCTTCGAATACCTTTGTGCACTCCGCGTCAGATCCGAAAGTATCTTCATCCTGATTCGCCGGGTTGAGAGTCCGGCCCGTAACGTGCATGGGGCAGGCCAGGCTGCCGTCCCGCCTGTTCTTCAGGATGCGGCGAATGTGCACTTTGTCGGAGTAGCTCAGCTTCTCCTCATCCTCCACCACGGTCCCCAAATCCTCGGTCAACTGCAGAATTATGTCATAGATACGGCCCATCATCCCCTTGGCCGTGTTAACGGGAGTGATGTGTTGGCCCTGCCCTCACTTGGGCAACGCCGACGACTTGGTCGGATGTACGGGTGAAGCAGCCGACCGTTCATAGTGGGAGAGCTGCTCGACGGGCTTCGTCGAGCTGCAGGGAACCGCTGTGGTGTTGCTGTCGACCAGGGAGCTCGACAGCTGCAGCTGACTGGGCTGGGCGACGGGTGGGCCGTCGACCAGGAGGAGCAGTTCGACCGGGAGGTCGACGGAGCAATCCGTCGACCTGACATGTGAGCAGCGGTCGACGAGGGGAGCTCGGCGACAACAGCTGACAGTTCTGGTCGACGGAGGGGTCCGTCGACCAAGGGGTAGCTCGAGGGGAGCTGTGGTCGACCAGGGGCACTTGGTGGTCGACCAGAGGCACCTGGTGGTTGACCAGAGGCACCTGGTGGTCGACCAGAGCACCTGGTGGTCGACCAGGTCGACCAGGTAACCTGCTCGGCGAGTTCTGCGGAGGCACGCAAACATCGGCGAGGTTGCGATGGCAAAGGCGACTTCGGGCTGGTATCCCGAAGTCGATGTGGCTCGTCACGCGCAGACAACAGCCGACGGATGCACAACGATGCAAGTCGGGCCAATCGTCTGTGCGCACCTGCAAGCGTGCGCACTGCTGTGCTCTACGGGTGCAACGCTAGATAGCCGCTCTGCTGCAGCGTTGGCACGCTGTCGACCTGCTGTGTTGGCAGGTCGCTCTTCTGCAGTGCTGGCGCGGCTCCTCTACGCAATGCTGGCAGGCGGTCGACCAAGCAATGAGGGGTCGTGCATGCAAGGTAGGAAACCCTCGGCGAAATGCAGCCGGCTAGCAGCAGAGAGGCGACCCGGGGGTGGATCCGCGAGAGTAAAGCAGGCGACCCGGGGCGCGAGTTGGCTTGGGAGGAAGGGCGCCGTGGCGTGTTGTGTTTAGGGCCAAGGCAGTGTGGGTGGGTGGGCAGCTTTAGGCCGTCTGCAAGGGAGTCGGGTGAGGGGGGCGCGGTGTGGTGTGAGAGCATTTAGCCGCATTCTGTGCGGGCAGGCCGGTGGTGATGTGATTGAAGGGCGTAGAGCAGTTGGTTCGTTCTCTGAGGGAGCTTACATTGTCATCATATGCTCATGGGCACGCTGACGCTGTTGCTCTTCGGGCCAGATGCATGGGCACTGCGAAGAGTGGGGGCTCCAAGGGACCCCTCTGCGTGTCATACTCCCTGCCGTCCCCTCACGAGTGGCGCAGGCAGCGTACACGCCGCTGCACGAGCCGACTCGGCTGAAGGGCGAAGGAGTTTGTGAAGAGAGCACAGAGTCCTCAAGTACGATGGCGGAGGGCAGAGGGCATACGGCTCCCTAATCTAACGCTTTCTCTCCCCCTTGCCCTCTCACTGCGTGTGCCTGCCTGTGTGCGTGTGCGCCTGCACCTCTCCAGCAGTGTCCACCTCGACGGAGCCAGAGGCAGTGCGGCCAGCACAGGCAGCTGAGGCAGGCGCTGCAGCAGAGGAGCCTTCTCAGCACGCGCTCGCACAGCAGAGCCCCCCCCACAGCCCCACAGCCACAGTCAAGCTCGGCTTCCAGGGTCCCCAGCTGTCTGCTGCTGCTCCGGTGTCTGCTGCTCCTCAGGTGTCTGCTGCTCCTCAGGTGTCTGCTCCTCCTCAGTTGTCTGCTCCTCCTCAGTTGTCTGCTGCTCCTCAGGTGTCTGCTCCTCCTCAGGTGTCTGCTGCTCCTCAGGTGTCTGCTCCTCCTCAGGTGTCTGCTCCTCCTCAGTTGTCTGCTGCTCCTCAGGTGTCTGCTGCTCCTCAGGTGTCTGCTCCTCCTCAGGTGTCTGCTCCTCCTCAGTTGTCTGCTCCTCCTCAGCTGTCTGCTGCTCCTCAGGTGTCTGCTGCTCCTCAGGTGTCTGCTCCTCCTCAGGTGTCTGCTGCTCCTCAGGTGTCTGCTGCTCCTCAGGTGTCTGCTCCTCCTCAGCTGTCTGCTGCTCCTTGGGCAGAGGGTGAGCGAGCAGGCAGTGCAGGCGAGGTGGGGGATGGCGGCAAGGGGGCGAGTGAGAGGGCAGAGGGGCAGGTCGGGCGAGTGGAGGAGAGCAGGGCGGTGGAAGCGGAGAGCATGGGTGGGCTGGCGGGGCACGGTGAGGGGGAGGGGACTGAGGGGGACGGTGATCGCCAAGGGCAGGGGCAGGCGAGAGAGGGAGGCGAGGGTGGATGCGCGGGTGGATGCGCGGGTGGAGGCGCGAGGGCGGATGAGGAGGTGACAGGGGTGGGTAGGGCAGAGGGCCACGCTGCTCGCGCTACTGTGATTGTGACAGGCGTGCTTGCTGACAGTAGCCCTGGAAACACGGAGGATAAGAAGGAGATAGACAGGGTAGGAAACGAGGAGAGGGATGGGAGTGTGGAAAGGGAAAGGGAGGAAAGGGAAGGGGAGGAAACGGAAGGGGAGGAGAGAGATAGCGAGGAGAAAGATGAGAAAGAGAAGTATGGGGCGGAGAGGGGTGGGGAGGAGAGTGATGGGGAGGAGAGTGATGGGGAGAAGAGAGGATGGGAGGAGATTGAAGGAGAAATGAGAGAAGAGGAGGAGAGCAGAGAAGAGAGAGAAGGGGAGAAGAGGGGAGGGCATGGGACAGATGGGGAAAATAACGACAAGGAGAGAGAAGCTGATGAGAGTGAAGGGCCAGGGATGGAAGGAAGGGAAAGAATGAGGAGCGAAGAGGAAGTGAGAGATGATGACGAGAGGGGAGGCACGGAGAATGAGGAGATGAGGAGTGACGGGAAGGTCCCGAAGGAGAGTGTAGAGAAGGGGAGGAAAGGGAAGGTGAATGATGAAAAGAGGAGGGACAGGGATGGAGAGGAGAGAAGTCGAGAGAGGCCAGATGGGAAGGAGCGCGATTGGAAGGAGAGAGATCGCAAGAGGGAGCGAAAGGGGAGAGAAAGAAGTCGAGATTTGAAGGAGAGGGAACGGAAGAGGGGAGATGGGAAGTACAGAGAAGGGCGGGAGAGAGAATGGAAGAAGAGGGAAGGTAGGGAGGGAGAAGCGAAGAAGAGGGAAGGTAGGGAGGGAGAAGCGAAGAAGAGGGAAGGTAGGGAGGGAGAAGCGAAGAAGAGGGAAGGTAGGGAGGGAGAAGCAAAGAAGAGGGAAGGAAAGGAGAGCTACGTAGAAAAGTGGAGATACAAGGAGAGAGATAGGAAGAGGAGAGAAGGTAAGGATAGAAGAGGAAAGCAGCGAGACTCGAAGGAACGAGGAGGGAAGGACGAAGAGGGGAAGAGGAGAGAAGGGAATGAGAGAGAAGGGAAGGAAAGAGATGGAAAGAGAAGAAAAGGGAAGGAGAGAGAAGGGAAGGATGGCGGAGGTAAAGAGAAAGGAGTAGAGAATGAAAGAAAGGAGAGAGAAGAGATCGAAATGAAGGAGAAGGAAAGAGGAGGAGATAGCAAGTTTGGTAAGGCCCAAGAAGGCCACGTGGTGGTGGGCGAGGGAAGCGGGAAGTCAAGTGTGGTGGTGTGGGAGAAAGATGAGGTGGTGAGCACTGTGCGCGTAAGGAGTGCGGGTGTGGGGTGCAGGGAGCAAGTGGGCGGTGTTGGTGAGAGCAAGGTGGAGCAGCGGGACACAGAGGAGAGGGGCAGGCGAGGTGAGTCCCCATCGCAGAGGCAGGGGGGTTCTGTGGGGGAGGTGGGAGGGGTGGGCGAGGGCGCACGTGGTGAGGGGGGTGGTGGTGGTGCTTGGTGTGTGAAGAAGGAGTGGGCATGTGCAACGAACAAGAGTGACTGTGAGAGAGAGATTGGCGGCAGGAGCAAGAAGGGCGAGGGTGAGAAGAAGGACGAGAGTGAGAAGGAGGGCGGGAGTGAGAAGAAGGGCGAGAGTGAGAAGAAAAGCGAGAGTGAGAAGAAGGGGGAGAGTGAGAAGAACGGCGAGAGTGAGAAGAAGAGCGAGAGTGAGAAGAAGGGAGAGAGTGAGATGAAGGGTGAGAGTGAGAAGAAGGGTAAGAGTGAGAAGGGTCAGAGTAAGAAGAATGGTGACCGTGAAAAAAAGGGTGAGAGTGAGAAGGGAGAGAGTGAGAAGAAGGGCAAGAGTGAAAAGAAGGGAGAGAGTGAGAAGAAGGGCGAGAGTGAGAAGGGCGAATGTGAAAAGGAGGGCGAGAGTGAGAAGAAAAGCGAGAGTGAGAAGAAGGGAGAGAGTGAGATGAAGGGTGAGAGTGAGAAGAAGGGTAAGAGTGAGAAGGGTGAGAGTAAGAAGAATGGCGACCGTGAGAAAAGGGGTGAGAGTGAGAAGGGAGAGAGTGAGAAGAAGGGCGAGAGTGAAAAGAAGGGAGAGAGTGAGAAGAAGGGCGAGAGTGAAAAGAAGGGAGAGAGTGAGAAGAAGGGCGAGAGTGAGAAGAAGGGCGAGAGTGAAAAGAAGGGAGAGAGTGAGAAGAAGGGCGAGTGTGAGAAGAAGGGAGAGAGTGAGAAGAAGGGCGAGAGTGAGAAGAAGGGCGAGAGTGAAAAGAAGGGTGAGAGTGAGAAGAAGGGCGAGAGTGAAAAGAAGGGAGAGAGTGAGAAGAAAGGTGAGAGTGAGCCTTGTTTGGAAGAGGGTGGGGTGATAGTGGAGGTGCACGAGGAGGTGCACGAGGAGGTGGGAGTGGGTGCAGCGGGGAAGGCGTGTGACTTGACTCGCGTGCTGCTGGGTCCCACTGTGTCGCGTCTTGCTGCTGCATCCGTTGGTGGCGGCAAGGAAGATTTGAAGGTGGTGGATGATTTGATGCTGCCAGGTGGCGATGTGATGCTGTCAGGTGGCGATGTGATGCTGCCAGGTGGCGATGTGATGCTGCCAGGTGGTGATGTGATGCTGGCAGGTGGCAATGTGATGCTGCCAGGCGGCGATGTGATGCTGCCAGGTGGCGATGTGATGCTGGCAGGTGGCGGGGCCACGGCAGCGGAGGAAGAGAGAGGGCAGGCAGTGGATGCAGAGGAGAAGCAGGTGGAGGGCGGTGAGGAGGAAGAGGGGCAAGGGAGTAAGGGGAGGGAGCAGGTGAGCATCAAGCAAGAGGGCAGCGGTGAGGGGAGACCAGTGCAGGGGGGGGAGGAGAGGGGAGAGCGCAGGGTAACGGCTGGGAGCTTGGTGGAGAGCGAGGTGGAGGAGGGAGAACGGGATGAGGAAGTGGTGGGAAGTGGGAAGGTAGGAGGCGGGGGACAGGAGCAGCAGGAGGAGGGGGGGGAGGGGCGGCAGCAGCGGTCAGTGTCGCCGGGCACGCGGGCGCTGATGTGCGACGAGGAGGACGACCACGGGGACACTCTCTTCGCCGCCACCTCCTCCCCCCTCGCCCACTCCAGCGCCCTCGCCAGCAGCGATGCCGATGCTGACCTGGACGATGATGTGGCGAGGGGTGATGTGGCGGATGAGGGGGCAGAGCAGGGTGGAGGGGAATGGGGTGCTTGGTGGGATGGCAGGCGGGTGAGTCGGAAGCGCAGTGCAGAGCTGATGGAGGGGGGAGGCGCGGGGGAGGGGCAGCGCGGCATGGGGGCGGGCATGGGGGCGGGCATGGGGGCGGGCATGGGGGCGGGCATGGGGGTGGGCATGGGAGCGGGCAGCAGCAGCCCCTCCGCCGCTCTGCCGCGCACCACCAGCGCTGCCCTTGCCGCCCGCCTGCCGCCCTCTGGGTTCTCGCCCTCACCTGGCAAGGCCAGGAGGAGAAGCCTGGGGGGGCATGGCGCGGGGGGTGGCGGCGGTGTGAGGGGGGGAGAGGAGCAGGTGGATGGGAGGAGGAGCGTGAGTGCCGGTCATGCTGCCCATGCTGCTGCTGCCCATGCTGCTGCTGCCGCCACTGCTGGCAATCACCCCTTTGCTGCCGGAGGCGTCTCAGGAGCTGCTGCAGGCGTGGCAGCAGCAGAGGTGGGTGTGATGGATGATCCAAGAGTTGCCATCCGCCTCGCTGCTGTGCGGTCGGCACTGGCCACAACAATGGGTCAGGGGAGAGGGGCGTCGGCAGGAGGGGCGAGCAGAGGGAAGGGAGGGGATCGGATGCAGGCAGTGCAGCAGAGGGCAGTGCAGCAGAAGGCGGCGGTGGAGAGGGGGCTGCTGGAATTGCTGGAGGACCACCTTCTGCAGATCGCCGCCCACATTGGCGCCCCCGCCTGCTAGGAACAGGGATGTGAACGGCACGTTGCAGACAGCATGTGCGCATCTGGAAGGGCAGTGATCGAGTGCATGCAGGGCTGGCATAGGGGGTGCGGCTGCCACTTGCAGATTTAGGAGGAACCTAGGCTAGGAGCAAGAGTGTCGAGAGTAGAGTGAGAGAAAAGGGGTTTGCAATATAGAAACCAGTACAAGAAATAGGATTGACAAGGTGGGAAGAAGAGGGTACACCACCTACAGACAGATAATTGACATAATACTACACTAGCTATGTTGTACGCAAAGTTGTACACTAACTATAAAGCCATACATTTCTTTAACCTCCCCCCTTAACTGCATGCAAACGTAGTCAGTGAGGGGCGTTCACCCAAAGTGCTGCAGTCATCGACCGCAATTGGGACCACCGTGGTTAAGTACCATGGCACGAGCCCGCCTGCGGTTTAACCCCCGCAGTGGGTGTCGGTGTGCGCTTAGGGTGTTACGATGTGGAATTGTTGCATAACATTCCCGTAGTAACGAAACCCTAACGCGAAGATGGCTGCAGCGAGGACGAAGACTGAGCGACACAGACAGTTATCGAAGACGGTTGAAAACAGTAAGATTTCGAAGTGCAAGCGCGGGAAATGCATTCAAACAGTTACCGTGGCGCGTATTGTTACCGAACCGCACGGTTGGCACTTCCGATGTGGGACTAGCCCTAAGGGGAATGTACCCTCTCAGAGTACATGACTAGCTAGGACCTTTCACATTCCATTGTATTCCTATATAAACCCTTGTACTACATTGTAATAGTTACTGCTGTCGAGATTCAAATCTCCTTCTGACACGGTCCGTACCCGAATTCACTAGCAAACTTCCGCTGCTACACTTTCATGCGATCAACTTGAGACGATCCTATAAACTCGTCATTTCAGATTGTAACATGGAATGAGAGCAACTCAGGATTCTTCGCAACATCACCTCTGATTCAGATTCAAATCCAAGGTGGCGTCCGGTACGCGCTCCCGCCGAAACATGGCCGGAGGATCTGGTGGGCAGGCGGCTCCCACTGCCGAAGCTCCTGCCAACCCAACCACGAACTCTGCGGCAAATACGACTGCCAGCAATGCGTTACTAGAGCAACTCATCCAGCGCATCACCACGTTGGAATCACGAATCCAACAATTGAAGAATGGCAACCCGGGAACCTCGCAACAACCTGAACAACCGGCTGTTCCCAACAAGGAACCATACCTGACCACATTCGACCGCAGGACGAGCTCTTCCGCTCCTATAACTTCTCGTCCAAGTGACGAAGCCATGCTCACGGCTCAAAACAAGTTTCTGGCCATCTCCAAGATCCGCACAAGCACCACTTTCATCGGGCGGGATTTATACACGTGGAGTTTTGAGCTCGAACTGCTCCTCCGAAGCGCTCAAATTTTCTGCTTCTTCGACGGAAGCTACGCTGGCCCCGCCAGCGACACCGAGGAAGCAAAGGCCCAGTATTACAACGAATCACTCATGGCGTACAGCATCCTGTTACGCAACATGTCACCAGCCGAGCAACTTGGCATTCGCTCTTTCAAAACCGATCCAGCCCCCGCCATATCTGCTTGGAATTATCTTACCAAGACCTACCAGCCTAAGGACTCCGTCTCCTCGAGTCGCCTCCTCCAACAACTCATGGAGGTTAAAATGATGCTCGGCGAAAAGGCGAAAGCGTACATCAATCACTGCCACAGCGTCCGCGATCAACTCCTAAAATTAGGCAACTCGATACCCGACGACATGTTCGTCGGAATTGTCCTCAGGGGGTTAGGACCTCAATGGACTCGATGCAAAGCCCTGCTCCGCCAGCAAGGCATCGTCTCCGAAGCACACATGTGCGCCACACTCATGCAAGAGCAGCAAGACATGGATTTTAATCAGAAGAAAGGGGCTCGACGAGAGCAAATCGCCTTCTACTCCGGACGCGACCAGCGACAATCTCGCGATTCGCGCCCGCGTCAATACTACTGCAAATATTGCAAGATTTTCGGTCACTCCACAGAATGCTGTCACTCCGGGCACCGTCATTATTCCGCGCTTCGCAACAACTCGAGTCCAGGGTTTGAGCAGTCGCGCCAAGCAAACCGATTGTCCTCGGACCATCGGTCTGCTCCGCGCCAACCTCCCCAGTCAGATGAGCAAAGGCCTCCATGCAGCAACAATGTTCGTCATGTTATCGGAAACATGGCGATGCACGTACATTGTCGAATGTGGCGCACGAACAGGCGACACCTTCGCTCAGTCCCCCCCCCCCCCCCCCCCCGCCTGGACACGAAGTTCAACGCAATTCCCACAAGAATCCCTTCATGCAAGACGGGGAGTTCGTCTCTCACAAACACGAACAAGACTGGGACCTGCCAATACCTCTGCCGAAGTCGCTACTGCACGACGAAGATTTCATAAATTCGCTGTCCATTCACAACTACTTCTATGGACACTACACCGATACCAGGTTCGTCGATAACTATCGCCACGCTGGCGACAAGCGCATCCCCTTTTGAAACACTATGAACCTCGCGCTCTCTGCCCAAAATTGAGCTGACACCAACAACACGTTGTACCTTGACAGCTGCTGCGGACAGCACATGGTGGGGTCCAAGCGTTTCATCTCCAACGCGCGTCGCATCTCGCAACCTACTGTTGTTACAGTAGCCAACAACCAACAACTCGGGCGTGCGGCATTGTCGTCCTCAAGGCGCATGACAGCGACGTACACACCACATTCAATGACGTGCTCATCATACGGGACCTAAAGTAAAACCTTCTCTCCTACGAGCAGCTTGTCCAGATCGGCGTACTCATGACCACAGACCCTGCGAGTCAGTGCATTCTAATGCACTGGAAGGATTACAGCATCATCGACTCCGAGCCGCGCTACATCGGCAAGGCGCGTCCAAACAACAGCATCTACATTCTTATTTTTGACATCCCAGACTGTGGAGATCTTATCGACCTCCAGCCCCAGCACAACGCAGGGCCACAAGGGCCTGTGCACCCTGATGGGCGCCCCTCGATCAAGCACCACGCACACCCCACGGAGATCAATTTTCAAACACCCGGACCTGACGGTGTCTGCCGCACCTGCCGCACACCAACTGCCTCCGCCACCACCCAAGAAGAGAAAAAATATACGGGAAAGGCACTGGCGGACGAGAAGAGCAAAGCACCAGCTGAAGGGGAGAGGCGCAAAGCCACATCCGATGAGAAAGGAAAAGCAAAGGTTGAGGAAGAAGTCGACAAGAAGCCCCTGGACATTGTTGAAGAAGCGGGGTGGCAGACCCCCCACCCACAGGCATGAGAGACGCCGCTGAACTCGCTGCGGCACTCACCATCTTCCAACCCTGCAGAACACGCAGCGACCTCACTGTACACGACCGCCTTGTCCTCCTCACACGTTACACCAAACCTGGTGCCTTTGACGACAACAACCCCCTACCCCTGGACTGGGACATGGATCACATCACTCGCCCTTGGTCTCGTCGTGACATGCCATCTGTGGAGCTCCAGAACTAGAGGAAGAAGAGAATCGCTGCCGAGCAAACCAAGGAGCAGAGGAAGCTGCTGAACGCGCAAAAACAGGTTGGGGACAAGGAACAGTATCGGCCCGCAACCACAAAAACGGGGAAGTTTGAATGTCGTGCACGTTGAGCCGTGCACCTGGGCATCAGCTTCGAGCATTACGCGTGGACAATCCTCGACCACGACACGCCACGAGTGGTCGCAACACGCGACGTAATCTTCTACAAGGACATCAACATCCTCAAATTTCAGTGCGGCCGTCACGCAGACCACACCAGAGGAGAAAACAACGTGGCCAATTACGACCGCCCACCTCGCAGCTTCGCCACTCCCGCGGACGAAGCCGAAGCTGCAATCGCGGACTAGGACCCCACGGACCCCCATCCCGGCCCCCGCCCTTGGAGCGACGAAGATGAGGACAATTACAGTGCTCAGTTTGACTCCTCGCGCGACTCTCTCCTTAGCCCCACACCGTGCTGCGGACATCACTCCGACCACGACGTTGTGGAGGTCACCATGGGCGGCCTGCAGCTTCTTAGCCTCCACACCGCTGTCTCCCACTGTGAGAGGACGTCCGCGTTATAATATTTGTCATTATTATATTTTTCCTTTATCTTATTCTCCTTTTTCTCCTCTTTATTTTGGTCTTTATTCCATCTCAATCGGCCTACTATTCTATTTTCTAGAGCCTTCTCTTTATTTCACTTATTTCCTACTTTTCCCACCGACATATCTATTATACGGCACCGACAGCGCTGACAGTGGTGTATACGGTGTAATCTGGGCATAATCCCAAGTGCCAATAGCCTTGCGTGCTTGTACGCACTTGTGATTGTAGTATCGGGAAGGGCGTGTTCCCGAAGGTTCGTTTTATCTCGTTTATCCTTGTATTTTCCGAGTATAAAAACGCCTTGTATTCAGTTTTAGTCACAAGTTTCGATTGAGAATTCGATCCTATGACACTTGGTAATCAGAGCCGTTCTCACTCGACAACTCTCGGCTAAGCAGCGGTCGCGGAAAAAATCGCCTCGAAAAACCGCCGGGGGCGACCAATTCGACGTCGATTTCTGGTAAGCACCAGTTCCGCGCTTTTCGAATTAACCCCCTCGCGTGGTTTCTGAACAGGATGGGTTCGTCGGCGACCAACGACGTTACGCAGCAGCTTTTCGCGCAAATCGCCAAAATGGAAGCGGAGATGCGAGCGACTACCGAACAGTCGCGATTGGAGAACGAGCAGCTGCGAAATGAACTGCAGCGCGTTACGCAGCTCCTCTCGACCATGAACATTCCTGCTTCGGCGACTTCGCAGCAGTCGCAGCGTCAGTTCGAGGTTCCGAAACTTCGCTCGCCGGAATCGTTCGACCCCAGCGACAGGAAATCCGACGTCAGGCGATGGCTCGCAACGATCGAAATTTATTTCGCGGCGATCGGATGGTCGACGATGGAGTACGACGGCG